AACAATAAAATAATAAAAATATAAAACAATATGTTATTGTTTTCCTTCTACGTGACTTTACTGAAAGAACCAAGGATATGAATCCCTGCAGTCACGAAAGCTTTAAATCAAAGCAGAGACGTTACAAAGATGACACGATGGGGAGGCTGAAGGTGAGAGAGAAGCGAGCAGGCGAGCCGAGACTGGCGCGAGAGACACCGAGGGAGGGATGAGAGTGGGTGGGTGGGAGAGTTGGGCGGGGGGACCGCGGAGTTGATTTACGAGAGACCCGATGTTCCCGTCCACAGATCTGTCCCTTTTGTTTTTGTTTCCAAACGCAATTCCCCCCCCCCACCCGCCCCCCCGCGTCGCTTCTCCTCCAATCGCTTCATCTTTACGAGCCTCATTGTCTCATCGGGCCGGCTCTTCCCACCGCTCCGAGAGCCCTCGCTCTCCTCTCGCCTCCCCGTTTCCTTTTTTTTTAAACAAATATCGAGGGCGGCGAGCGGTGGCGCAGTGGTGGGCGCACTCCTCTGCACTGGGAACTCTCCACTGGGAACTCTGCGACCGGGAGGTTCGATTTCCGGAGAGCGAGCGAGGTGGCCGCGGCTTAGAAACGCCGTCATCCAGAAGTGGATTTGCCACGAACGATGGGTGTTTCGGTGATAGCATCGTTCAGGCACAGGAACACGACACATCCTAGACACTGGTCATGCAGTTTGGATATAAACATTAATTTCAAGCTTCCCCAAACAAGTACGCAATTTGCTAATTATAGCAGGCGTAATATTAATTTGCTGGCCTGTTTATCCACTGCTAGATGACGGCCTTCCCGTATCGGTCACGGAGGTCGTTTTAACATACTTCATCAATGCGGGTTGGGGTGTGAGATCGATACCGGCTCCGACATCACGCGCGTCACTCGTTGTCGGGGATCGAACTCGGCTAGCTGGACTCGGAGCGCAGAACGCGAATCGCTGTGCGAACTATTCACACCCTCCGCCAATAGGGATACATAAAGTCAAAAACACGGGCATTTAAATGTGTATAAAAGTCGGCGACGTTTCGGACAATGACCCTTCACAGAAAACGATTCACGTTCTATGAAGCGCCTTTGTTATTAAAAAAAAACTCCCCTAATATAATTTACCATAAAGAAGAACGCGTTATTGACGAAGACGTTGAGTGTTTGTGCTGTTGCACCACTGTCATTAGGAACGAAGAGCAGCTGTAATGGATTCAAGGTTTACCATCACTGCCAGCTCCAACCGAACATCCTGTACACACAAAGCACACGCAGGTTACACCCCCGCCTCAATTACCATTGCCGAAAGGCGAGCGCCACCGTGGTGAACATTCATTGCGAGTAGTTACATCGACCGCTTTATCCAAACCGGGACAGAAAATATACAAATAATATCACCCCGAGGGGGGGCAGTGGTTGACGAGAACCAGGAAAAACATTTGTTCGATAATTCTAGATTTGAAGATTTCGTGACTGCAAGGATTCATATTCTTAGTGTTTTTTCGGTAAAGTCACGTAGGTAAAAAAAAAATCAAAATTAATAAAAGTTAAATAAAAATAAAATAAAAATCACGACGTTTCGGAGGCAACACAAGCTTCCGTCTTCAGGTGGAACCGTCACAGCACGATATCTGTAATCAAGTAAGCAAGCGTGCTGTGACTGTTCCACCTGAAGACGGAAGCTTGTGTTGCCTCCGAAACGTGATTTTTTATTTAATTTTTATTTTACTTTTATTAATTTAGATTTTTTTACCTACGTGACTTTACCGAAAAACCTAAGAATATTTGTTCGATACATTAATCCCTGGCCATCACTACAACTAGCGGAAGAATGTCAGACGATTTGCCCGATGAACTTTACGAGCCTTCTTACCAAGCAGTTCGTGACAAATCTGGTTTGGCCACCACGAATCGGCGGCATCTCCCAGCCAGCCAACCGCCACGAACGCGCCCCATCTCGTCCCGATCGCGGTAGCCAAGCAAGGAGACTGAATACTACACCTTTTACTTTACCAGGTAAAGCCCATGAGTCATAGGAGCTATTTTACCAGGGGACATGCCCATACACAATAGCTCATCGCAGTTTGCCGATATCATCATCATCATGGGGATTTATAGTAGCAGCCAAATAAGCGCACGAGTCTCAATGTGGGGCAGGGCGGGGGGAGGGGGTCCGGAGGAAAATCCACGCGACTACGTGGAGAGAGAATACGTGGACTCAAATATACAACAGGCATCATCAGGGGCCGGGATCGAACCCACGACCTTCCTGCATGCGATCATCCTCGCAGTCCAAAACCAGTCTATAGCAGCGAGTTAGAAATGAAGGGATGCGGCGGCTAACGCAAGCGGTGGAGGTTTTGTCGTAGTGGAGTAGGGAAACGAGAATTCCTGCCCGACGCCCTGGCACTGCCTCGTCCCTACGAGCGGGGGAGGGGAGATGGAGACAGCAGACCCCTCGAGGTCCGCTCCCCACGCCGCCCGCTTTCACGGCTGTGCCACGGCGCTGAGAAATCTCACAAGTCTCGCCTCGTGTCTCCACCCGGACCTACGAGGCCCGAGGCGCCTGAACGTAGCGTTCATCCGCGGGCAGTCGGAGGGTGAGATGCGAGAGCTACGTTGATCCGTACGCTACCCACACACTTCGCAGTCCCAGTCGTTCCTTTATTAACTCGTGGGAAGATATACTCGGAAGCGCGTGGCTTGTATTCACTACCATCGCCACTAAACCAGACACACGCACCCTCTAATCACCAGCAGGCTGATTGTGAAGGGCGAGGGAGTGCACCTGGTGGTGATGACGTTATGGGCTTGTCCCCGTTGATTTTGTTTTATTTGTATGTGTTTGGGTGATTGTTTTACCTTTCTATCATGTTTTTTTTTATTGTTTATTGTTGTAACGTTCTTATCCGGCCCCTACTGGACGCCTGTGAAAAAGATCTTGATGGCTCACCGGATTCCTCCAGGACAAATACATATTCTGATTCAGATATTCTGATGATTCTGAACGTGTGATTGCACTTGCGCGGATGTGATGAGTGGGTTTACGTGAGTGTGAGTGAGCGCACCTGGTGGGTACGATGTGTGAGTGTGTGTGCATGTGGTGGGGGGTGATGAATTCCCAAATTATTGGCTTGAACCGTCCGCACCGCGCTAATTACTAACACTACTCAATTGTCATTGCGGCCCGAGAGACGACGCGTACCCTTCACAACGTGACGCCGGTAGGGACGAATTCATTTCGCTTCTTCACGAGGATTTTCAAAATCGTTTCGTAAATAAATTGTTGCAAATACTAAATAAGTAAAACATTAACATAAGTATTCTATGAAATATAAGTATTACCTGTCCGCTTAAAATTGGGTTCCACAATCGATTAGATGGATTTAAAATTATAATGATTTGATAACATGTAATTAAAGATCAGGACAAATGTAACGTAATGTTTGTATGTCTTTGTGCCGTGCTGGCCTCCATAGATCCTCGCTAACAGCACTTGCCCTAAAAGTCTATTACGGATATACGTGGAATCTTTGTCTTTGTATATATAAAATATATTAAATCAGATTAAATCCCCATGTGTTTTTTTAAATGAAACCAGATGCAATGAATGAGACTTATGGGGTTGTGACGAAGACATCTGATTTCAATGGCACCAGAATATCTTGGCGTCAGTGCCTGGTGATTCAACGCCCTGGATGCAAGGGTTAGTGGATCACGCAGAGATCTGTGTGAAACTCCCAAACACGCCGAGGTGTTGCGATGTGGCCAGGAGATGCAGTACAGCAGGTGGTTTCGTGAACCCATCTTTGCGGAACTTTGAGCGATTTCCCCTCATAGCCCGGGTGAGCTCCCGTGTCTGGTTTTCTCCCGGACGAAGAGCTGAAGCAACTCATCCAAAAAGAGTCTTGAGACACAGCAGTGCTCCTTTTCTGGGTAAATAAAGAGCATTAATTGAGTGGTGTACAGGGGCGGCCCCAGGCTCGCTGCTGCCAGCAACTGGCGCCCGAGGCGAACCACGCAACGGGCGAACCACCCCCAAACCCCAAGGGCAGATCTCGGCTGAGGTTTATGGTAAACTGGGAAACATTTGGCTCCTATTTTCCGTTTAATGTTTTTTTAAGCGTAATTATTTTTTTAAACAGAGGCATAATTATTCGGTTTGTTCGTCCTTCTCTCCAACGAATACAATCTCAGAAATGCTGAGAAATTAATTATAATTCATATTCCCTCTGTACGCGCATGGGAATTGACATATTGAAAGCTTCGTTATTTCATTTTTTCATTTGTGTTTTGAGTTCGCCGATACGGTTCAAGACTTTACGGTGGATAATGTAGCTGCCTCTTGAGTGGCTGGAGACGGCGGTTCGATGTGTTTTTATATAAACAAGCACCAAATTAATTGTACTCTCAGTCTGAACATGTCTGCCCGAACCGACTTATGTGACGCAATGTATTATTTCACATTGATTTATGATTGTGCGATATTTTCGATTTCTCATGCGACGTTGTTGCTTTTGCGCTGATTTCTATTTGCTGAATTGCTGTACTTCATTGTATTCGTTCTTTGCTTTTGACATTTCAGTAACCCAGATCACTCTTGCAAATGAAACCTCTCCTGGTCTCTTGAGTTCTCACCTGGGTGAGATTATTACACAACGCGATTTTGACGCACGTAGCGTGAGATTAAGGATATAAATCACATTAATCGATCAACCGTCACGGTCTCTATTACCTTAATTTTGTATATTAATACGATCATCATCCAGCAGTGGATTGGCCAAAGTCCAGTGACGCTTTCACTCGGACAGCGCCGCCACGTGGCCGCCACGTGAGTGGCACTGCCACGAAACCCAAGAAACGCACCGCACGGGAGGGGGGCGGGGCGTAACAGGGAGAGACGCGTCACGTGCTCGACATCTGTAGCCAATGAGCGCGAGAGACACTGCCGAGTTGGCGTTCGTCGCTGATTGGGGGAAGGGCGTGTGCACGTGGGCGCGCGTCTCGACCAACGAGAGCGACGTTTGGAAGTCCCCGCGTCACCGTCTTCTGCTCGCCGCCGGTAATGGCCGCGCCCACGGGGACACGGGAGCCAAGGGGAGCTAGAGATCAAGGGGATCAAGGGGAGCTAGGGATCAAGGGGACCTGGGGCTCAATGGGAACCAAGGGGATTCAGGGATCAAGGGGACCTAGAGATCAAGGGGAACCAAGGGGAGCTAGGGATCAAGGGGAGCTAGGGATCAAGAGGAGCTATGGATCAAGGGGACCTGGGGCTCAAGGGGAACCAAGGGGATTCAGGGAACCAAGGGTATTCAGGGATCCAGGGGAGCTAGGGATCAAGGGGACCTAGAGATCAAGGGGACCTGGGGCTCAAGGGGAACCAAGGGGATTCAGGGATCAAGGGGAACCAAGGGGACCTAGAGATCAAGGGGATTCAGGGATCAAGGGGAACCAAGGGGACCTGGTGCTCAAGGCGACCTGGGGCTCAAGGGGAGCTAGAGATCAAGGGGAACCAAGGAGACCTAGAGATCAAGGGGAACCAAGGGGATTCAGGGATCAAGAGGACCTAGGGATCAAGGGGACCTAGGGCTCAAGGGGAGCTAGGGATCAAGGGGACCTAGGGCTCAAGGGGAGCTAAGGATCAAGGGGACCTAGGGCTCAAGGGGAGCTAAGGATCAAGGGGACCTAGGGCTCAAGGGGAGCTAGGGATCAAGGGGATTCAGGGATCAAGGGGACCCAGGGATGAAGGGGATTAATCGGACTTGGGTACCAAGGGGACTCTGGGATCAAGGGGACCCAGGGGTTCAAGGGGACGCGGGAACCAAGCGGATCAATCGGATTTGGATACCAAGGGGAACAACCTATCGGACATAGGGTCTAAGAGGACACAGTCTTACGGGTTATAGGAACTACGAAATGGAGTCGGCAACCAAGGGGACCCAGACTTCGGAGACGGAGCTGCCTAAGACGCCCTCGAGGGTCCAGGGAGCAAGGGGATCAGTGTCTGGGGGGGGGGGGGGAGATGATCAAGCGATTGACCCCAGGTCTGTTGCGCAGACCCGAGTCCCCGTACTCGGTGGACAGAGCAACTATGGGGACCAAGGTAGCCCAGGAGCGCTAAGGGGACCCGACGCTCAAACGAGAATAGGCGCGAAGACCAAACAGGGGAAGTAGGGATCAAGGTGTCCCAGGTGCCAATGAGACCCGAGCCGATGCGTTCAGGGATTTAGAGGACTCGTCCAACATGAACCACAGTCTAGAGGGGCCTCATCGAGCACCGCTCAGCAGCCAGTCTGCTGAACTAGCGAAACGCGGTGAACCAAGACCACGACCCACTGCTACTGCTGCCGCTTGAGTCCCCTGGATGGGGCCTGGGGCTCTGGACCCCCGTGACCAATTGACCTCTACCCCCTTTCCGTGTTCCCCCCGCAGGTCTCAAGATCTCCTCTGTTCGCCATGTTCCCCTGCGCCAAGATCATGACTGCGTCTGCCCTGGTAAGTGGTGGTGGAGTGGAGGGAATTGGTGTTTGTGTGTGTGGAACAGTATTTAGCACTCCGCGTTTGTGCCGCTTAATACTTGTGTGTGTGTGTGGTTCTCAATGCTCATAATCATGGTTACGATTTGGTACTTTCCGTGGATTGTATAGCGCAGGGGTCGGCAACCTACGGCTCCGGAGCCGCATGCGGCTCTTTACGGGCTGCTTCTTGACGATGAGTATATGTACTCAGATGCATTGCGGCTCTTGAAATACTGAATTTTGTACCGAATTGGAAAGAAATAGGCTTTTCTTGTTATTTTGGTTGCCGACCCCTGGTATAAAGCGCATGGTTTAGTAGTGTTGGGTAATTGTGGGTAGTACTTGTTATTAGGATCCGTAGGAACTAATACTCATGCATGCAACTCGATAAGTGTGCACGTTACTTGTTCTTGTTTCTGTTTGCCCAATGTCATTAGTGGAGTTGATTTACTGGGGAAAAACCTCGCTAAGTTTCAAGACTCGGGTCCCCTTTGCTTCATGTTCATGCATGGTCCTCAATTCTTGGTATTTACTTACGGTACTTGGAGATGTGATGCAAGGGCACTTAAGCGGTGGATTGGTCATCAACGATGGAGAGATCTCCCCAAGCTGTCACCATCACTTGACGGTCTCGCGATGCAAAATTCCGTCGCTCCATCTCCGCCGTGTCGTTTCTTCCTCCCCTCGCAGGTCCGGAGCGGCGTTCGCCTCTCGCTGGCGCGGCCGCTCTCCGCGTACGCCCTGGGCCGCCCCGAGAGCCGTGCCCTCGTGGCTGCACCGTCCGCCACGGGGAAGGTGGAGACGGCGCGCCGCGACTTCCAGACTAGCGCCGTCTCTCGTGACATCGACACGGCCGCCAAGTTCATTGGCGCCGGCGCCGCCACGGTCGGCGTGGCTGGGTCGGGCGCGGGTATCGGCACGGTTTTCGGAAGCCTCATCATCGGCTATGCCAGGCAAGGAAGAGGGTGAACAGTGTGGGCTCGCATAATGCGCATGCATAATGTGCGTTGATTCATTAACCCCCCCCCTCACTTCGTGCAAGAAGAGCACACAAGTATTGTCATCACATCTACTATACCTCTTTTTAAGGAACGAAACAGGTGGACTTCTCCACAAATCTGGCTATCGCCTGATGAAGATAGTTGTAATTACTGCCGAAACGTCGTACTCAGATTGTAAACGTTGTGGCTTGACTGGACTAGTAACGAATTGGCATGTTCTGTTTACGTGACAAACCTTACTAGTTGGATGTGTCAGGTGGTGGCTGGTTTAACGACACATATATTTACGTGATCTAACCCAAAAAACCTGTATTATTGGGTGATATTGTTCATCTCCAGTGTAAATGAATATTCCTTCTGCCCTTGATTCTAAACAGAATTCTCAAGTGTAGTAAGTTGATAATCTCAGTCTCGTCATAATCAGAATATTTATTTCTGCCGGAGAAATCCGATGAGCTATAAAACTCGTTCGCAGATGTCCGCCAGTAGTTTAACAGATGGTCCACCAATGACTGCAATGTGAATGTCATCGTAACAGCGTGAAAGGGTAGGACAAATATCCTCGAGAGGGGTTCTCAAGTCCGCACTGTCACACACAAACTCCCTCTAGTGGCGGCCCTTCCACAAGAATTTGCATGCACACGCAATTGCAGGGCTGCACATTTTACCTGCACCATCATCATGCTGCTCATTGTTTATCTACACGTTCAGCTTTTACAACGTGTTTGTATAACCTCCCCCCCACCCCTAAGACACTAGGTAATCCAAATCGTAGGACTCTTATCGCATTTATCTGGTACCTTTGCACCAAAGTTTGGCAATCGATCATGTGATGGAGCGATATTGATCATGTGATGGAGCGATATCGATCATTTGATGGAGCTGATATCGATCATGTGATGGAGCGATATCGATCGCGTCTCTGTGCCAGGAACCCGTCTCTCAAGCAGCAGCTCTTCTCCTACGCCATCCTGGGCTTCGCGCTGTCCGAGGCCATGGGGCTCTTCTGCCTCATGGTGGCCTTCCTCATCCTCTTCGCCATGTGAAGACCCTGGGGCCCCACAACCCCGGTCCCCGTGCGACGTTCGTCATTGGTGCTCCCCTCACGGCTGCTGCGGGGGGGTCGTGACCTTTCGACAGTTCCAGGGGTCCTCGCGACTCCGATGTTTCGGGTCTTGGTTTCACCGCCCACAGCGCCGCTTGTGTAGTGATGTCCGTCGCCGTCGTGGGGGTGTGTCCAGCAGTTTGTAAGATATGCGCCTCCGTAAAGGTCCCACTAATAAAATACAATAAAAAAAATGTGCATTTGATACTGAGTGTGTCCTTGAAGTAAAGTGGAGGCATGTTGCGTGTCGTGGGTTTAATCACGATTGTCGACTGTGCGGCGCGTGTAGCATTTACGGAGGAGATGGAGTGATGAGATCGGCTCGTGTGCAGGAAATGTGGATTTCTGCATCGAAGACAAATGCCCATTAATAGATTTTGGCAAAGAGCAGAATGTAGCAGGATCCTCCTGTAAACAAGCCTTGAGACTCAGAATCGGAATATACTGCAGGAGAAATCCTTTGAGCTATAAAGCACTTTTTCACAGATGTCCAGGAGGTGCAGCTCAACGTTACCACGATACAAAAACATAATAGGAGTGCAAAGTATACGAAAGGTAAATACAAATATATACAAATAAAACGTTTTATCTTACCAGGTAAGGTCCATTACTCTGTAAGCTTTATCAGAAGCGACCTGACCACAAATGATAGCTCAACAAAGTGGATTATCGACCAGGCTTTTGTGGGTACATGACGACATTGCTGCTAATAGGGTTGGTTAAAGCAGCGTCGTGAGACTGATGGTGGAGCGGCAGCCAAAGGAGAACGCAGGCCCGTGAGGACATCGGCCACGGAGACGAGGGGTGAGATCGACCCACGTAGGCAGGAGCCACGTGGGTCATCCTGGGATGGAGAGGTGCCGACGGCTTGTGGATTCTTCATCCAGCAGTGGATCACAGGCTGCTGCTGATGAGTGTAATGTGCATTCTAAATGTGTGCACGCATTCCAAAGATAACTTCCATCGGCTTCTAAAATATCGCGCGCGTCTATTTAATCCGTGACTAATTGGCACGTACAGCTCGGTTCAATTAGGTGTATCTGCTGTATATTGAACTTCTTTGCACCGTACGTAGCCGACCGTGATAATCGAAGGTGTGGGGGAAGGACGAACAGCTTGTGATGTACGGCGAATGTGTTTGGAAACCCTTTGACCCAATGATCCGGCTTATCCTCTCTCCCGTTCGCAAGATCGTACAATAGGCGTGTGCCATTTTTGGAGGGAGTGGTGACAGGAGCGTTGAATCTCAACAGGTTTCGCACGGTTGGCTACGTACGGTGCGAAAGAAGTCCAATGTACATAGACTGGTCCGGGCTGTCAGGTGAGCGGAGTGACGCCTCTTCTATATGGCGGGCTGCCCCACTGGTTTGTGGTAAAGACAGCGATCGCAAATATGGGAAAGGTGTATTGTGGTTATTTTGTAGCAACACCAGTGTGGTGAAGTATGGTCAACCCCCATATGATCGAGCTGGTAGGAACGTTGGGTTGCTCGGTCAATGGCCAGGGTCAACGGCGGCGTGGTGTATTCCGCAACATATGGCGACTGTGAGGGCGGGCACAAGCCGGCGTGAGTAGGTTAAACGTTGAGTTTTATAAGGGCACCACGGGGTTACCAGCCCCTCCCCACCCAGCCCAACCCCTCCCACCCACCATCCAGCCCCACCCCTCCCCACCCAGCCCCACCCTCCCCACCCAGCCCCTCCCTCCACACCCAGCCCCTCTCTGCACGACGGACGGACGGACACAATAATCTCCTGTGGGCTGGTGTAACCAGGAGGTTCCTACCAGTAAAATACACGTCTACATTTTTGGCAATGGCTCGCTGCTGTCGGGGCAGCAACAAAAAGATAACATATATTGCGGTGGCGTTCGAAACGAAGCAAAAAAATTGTCATTGATCTGACCCAGACGTGACCTTAAGAAGGGCCACTGGCCGAAACGTCGCCGATTATACATACCAATATATGTAGTAATGTATATATATTTATTAATGTTAGGGGCCGTCCATAAATGACGTCACGAGATTTTGGACGATTTTTGACCCCCCCCCCCCCCTCGTCACACGGCGTCACAAAAAGTCAGACCCCCCTTAAATATGACGTCACAAAGCTCTGCCCCCCCCCCCCAAAAACCATATTTCCATTTTGAAAATAAAACATGCTTCAAGTCGCTTTAAACTATTGTCATTGTAGTGCGTATTTAATATGGCTCTGCACTCTGATGTTGTAGGAGTGTTGTTATAACAATTAGTATTGTTATAACAATTAGTATTGTTATAACAATACTATATTTATTTAAAGTTGCGCATTTTGATGTGACGTCACATTTCTCACCCCCCCTCCTCGTCACAAATGTCTGACCCCACCCCCCTCCCTAGGTGCGTGACGTCATTTATGGACGGCCCCTTAAGGCCAAACACACCGCGAGGTGCTGTTGTGTGCGTGTCCCAGCCAGGGCTGCGTGGAGCGCCACGTGGAGCCCGCGCTCGACAAACAAGGGGGCGGGAAGTCCACGCGGCTTTCGAGGGCGCGGACCAATGGGAGCAAGGGGGCGGATTCCCCCCCCCACCCCCCGCACCCCCCACAGCCCCCACAGCCCCTCCCCCCCTCCCCTCTCAGCCTCAATCCACGTCGACACCGGAGCAGCGCGGAGACTCAAACGTGGCCCGGGCCGGGAGTCGAACCTGGACCAGGGTCGGCATCAGGATGCGGACTAGGAACCAGGGTATGACCCGACCCGACTGACTGCCGGACAAGGCATCAACTGACCCACTCCGGATTTGACCTGACTTGAACCCGACCTGGACAGGACCAGAACTCGACCCTGACAAGCTTCAAGATGTGGACCAACCGTCGGGTATACGACTCGAACTGAGCTGTCACTGGACGGAGCAGGACTCGAATCCGATCCACATCTGGGGCTGGATATGATCCGACCTGAGCTGCCCCCGGACAGGATAAGAACTGATCCGCTACGGGTTTTGACCTGACCTGGACCAGACCTCGACCCGGACCTAGACCAGAGCAGGTCTGAACTAGCATTGACCTCATCAGGACTGGCTGGACCTGGGCAGGAGATATTATCCGACTGGATAAAAAAAAAACGACCCGGACCAGTATCCGACTCAGGATCGGCTCAGAATCGGAACCGGTCCAGACGAGTCATGTGCTGGACTCGATCCGAGGAGCCAGGGACTCAACTCGGACCGAACCCAGTTTGTCAACCAGTACAGGTCCCGTGCGTGACACGAGCCAGGATCAAAGCTGACCCGGACCCAGCCTCGCTTGACCCGACCCAGACGAGAACTGGTGGGCTGCCCTTTGCTGACAGATCCCTCTTTGGACCATACCCAAACAGGGACGTGACCGTACCCTGACCAAACTAACACCGGACCGAAACTGTGCCGACCCGAGAGCTGTTCGACCGGGCGATCTTACCCGACACGACCCCGTCCGTTTCTCGCACCTGGATTTTTATTTAGCACGTGTGCCGCGTCCCCGTGGCTCCGTGTACCTGCGCAGGGGCGGGACATGCCTCTCACCTGTCCAGTGGGAAGGGGCTGGTGGTGGGGGGGGGGCATGGTCCTCATCTGCTCCTGGAAGTGGGTGTAAACCCATGGGCTCGCAGCTGCTCGGCGCGCCGGTTATAAGGCGCGTGGAGGAGCCGTGCCCGCACTCAGGTGAGAGGGTGGCCTACCCAGGTAAGTGTGGGTGCCCAGGTAAGCCGTGTCACGCCCAGGCGAACTACATCACCCAACTGAGTTATATCTCGCGCGAGCCACCCCATTTCTCGGATTATAGGACGCACTTTTTTACCCTAATGTTTAAAAGCAACAGTTGTGTGTGTGCTTCTTATAATCCGGTAGGTTTGTATGTATGTTGAACTTCTTTCGCACCGTACGTAGCCGACCGTGCTAATCGGAGGTGCGTTGTATGCGCGCGTGTGAGAATCCAGAAAGATGTAACTGCATTAACAACCGGGTCCGCACGCTTGGCGCGCGTCTTATTTTTTTGCCGAAGCGTCTTTACAATCGGGGAGAATGCGGTACATCAGGTGAGCTGTGCCCCCCCCCCCCTGGACACTGGCGCTCAGGGCGAGGTTCTGTCATTCGCTCCGGACTCTTCTCGTTGCTTGCAGTCAGTGCATGACAGAACTTGACCCTGGCTGCCCCGAGCATGGCTTCTTACATCACAATCATCTTCATCGCCATCGGCGACGGTCGTCATCTATCCGCTGCTGGATGAAGGCCTCTCTCCCCCAAGCCGACGCGGCGACGATCCACCCCCCTCCTGGCACCACCGTGCACGCGAGTCCGATTTTCATCGCTCCGTCTCCGCGAATGATTGTTCTCTCGGCGTGTGTGTGTGCGCACGCGCGTCTTTCCTCCTTTGACTGCCACTCCGTAGCTGGTATCGACCGTGCGCTTTAATCCACGAATTGCAAACGACAATAATGATGTTGGTCCTTTGTTTATCCAGGAAAATCGTCACGGAATCTCAAGACTTGTTTGCAGGAGGTCCTGCTACATTGGGATGTTCGGCCAAATCCACTGGCTGCATGTTTGGGAGGAAACCGGAGAGCCGAGAGAAAACCCAGGACCTGTGCTGCACAGACGGATTTAGGAATCCATTGTTTCTGCGCTGCCATCTGGCCACCTCGCAAGCTAAGCGGGCGTTGAGACTGTAATCCTCCTTAGATATCGATCAGTATGTCAATTCGTGTTTATGATGCAGTTAATGAGAGAAGAAAAGCATATATTATGTAATAAAAATTAAATAGTGCAGTCGGTTCTCCCACAATTGTAAGCCCACTGTTGCGCCAATCCTAACCAACTCAACTAATTGGCACACACCCCAGTAAACATAACAACCGGACCCTGACCCGTCGATGTGAACATTTGAAGGTCTTTTGTCGTGCAAGTTAGCATCTCAGCATATTTCGATTTAAAGCTTTCGTGACTGCAGGGATTCATCTTCTTGGTTCTTTCGGTAAAGTCACGTAGAAGGGAAGTAATAAAATAATAAAAATGTTTTATTTTTATTATTTATGTTTTATTTTTACTTATTTTATTACTTCCCTTCTACGTGACTTTACCGAAAGAACCAAGAAGAAGACATCTCACCGTACTTCACCACGCTGGCCAGAGACGCGCTATCTCGTGATCTTTTATGCCAAACACATCACGTGGTATAACGCCACCACGAC